AGAGACGGGGTTTCACCATGTTGACCAGGATGGTCTCGATCTCTTGACCTCGTGATCCACCCGCCTCGGCCTCCCAAAGTGCTGGGATTACAGGCTTGAGCCACCGCGCCCGGCAACCCTGGATGATTCTAATGTGCACAGCAGGGTTGAGACCACACCTCCAGGGCAACTGAGATATATATATATGTATATACTTTCTTTTTTTGTTTGTTTTTTTTGAAACAGGGTCTTGCTGTTGCCCAGGCTTTTTTCTTTTAAATACAAGCTTTCCTCTCACTTTTTCCCCTTGATATTTTTTAGACAGTGAGTTCCCAGAATTTCAAAGATAACTTAGGAAAATGTTTTAAAATTCAGACAAACCTTAAAATGTACTTGTGTTACCTGAACCCTTTCTCAATATGAGACAAAAGGCCATAAAAAACTTTTACCAGGCATGCCAGTCATTACGGATAAATTCTAAACCAGTTCTCAAACAAGTTCACACACATCTAGGATTCCCTCAGGTATTTCATGGGAATCTTAAATGAATATGTGACCAAGCTGTTAATAATGACTACCTTTGGGGAAGCAGGAAGGTTAAGAGAACTTTCTATTTCTCGCTGATACAATTATCTGTTACTTCACTTTTTTTTTTTTTCTTTTTTTTAATGCAGGGTCTCCCTCTGTTACCCAGGCTGGAGTGCAGTTGTGAAACCCCAGTTCACTGCAACCTCCACCTCCCACATTCAAGCAATTCTAGTGCCTCAGCCTCCTGAGTAGCTGGGATTACAAGCACACGCACCACAACCCGGTTAATTTTTGGGTTCTTAGTAGAGGCTGGGTTTCACCATATTGGTTAGGCTGGCCTCGAACTCCCAACCTCAGCTGATCTGCCTGACTTGACCTCTCAAAGTGCAGGGATTAGAGGCATGAGCCACCGTGCCCAGCCTCATTTTCAATAAACTAGTTTGAGTATATCCTTTCTTCTGATTGCTGCCCCAAAAAAGCATGCATATGTTGCACTGTCAAAAACCAATTTTTCAAAAGCTGATCTGAGGCCAAAAGCAGTGGCTCAGGCCTGTAATCCCAGCACTTAGGGATGACAAGGAGGGCTGATCACTTGAAGTCAGGAATTCGAGACCAGCCTGGCCAAAGGGTGAAACCCTATCCTTACTAAAAATACAAAAATTAACCACGTGGTGGCTAGCGCCTGTAATCTCAGCTACTCCAGAGGCTGAGGCAGAAGAATCACCCGAACCCAGGAGGTGGAGGTTGCAGTGAGCCAAGATCACGCCATTGCACTTGAGCCTGGGCAAAAAGAGCAAAATTCCACCTCAAAAAAGAAAAGAAAATTAAGCTAGTACACATCATCACATCTATCCATTGTTATTTCACCTATTTCATGAAACCTATTACAATGAGGTAGTGAACTATGTAATAAAATAATGGACAGGGCACAGTGGCTCATGCCAGTAATCCCAGCACTTTGGGAGGCGGAGGCAGGTGGATTACCTGAGCTCAGGAGTTCAAGACCAGCCTGGCCAACATTGTGAAATCCTGTCTCTACCAAAAATACAAAAATTAGCCGGCCGTGGTGGCGGACGCCTGGAATCTCAGCTACGCTGGAGGCTGAGGCAGAACTGCTTAAAGCCAGGAGGAGGAGGTTGCAGTAAGCCGCGATAGCGCCATTGCACTCCAGCCCGGATGACAAGAGTGAAACTGCTTCAAAAAATAATAATAAAATAAAATAATGTGTTGGACGACTGCAATATTGAAATCTTTCTCAACCAAGTGTTTACAGATGTTAAAGCGGCAACAGGAAATTTCTCCAGTACAACCTAATCTCGGTGGGAATTAAAAAAAAAAGCACTAATTTGAATTTCATTACCTACGTTGCAACGCTGAGTTCCTGACAGGGATTTGTACTCAGTAGGTTATGCTTCTTAAATCTCCAAAAGTAAGCCAACATGTGAAATTGTACATTTTTGGTCTGTTATTCTAAGACTTTCACAAAACGTTCCATTGCCTCGTATTTGAATTTGAGAGCCGAGACTCGTTTAAAAATTCTTTACTGTTCTTTCTGCCTTTCGATTTCGCAAGTGAAAAACGGTCACTTCAACAGCACACAGATTACACTAGAATAAAGCTAAGTTAAATGACAGACTAAATCAGATCCATGAATACACAGTGACTCCTTATTTGATTTTACTTAATACTTTTACTCGTTCGTGTCTTCAGGAAAGCAAAAAAAACAACGTACTGTGCCAAAAGTACTTACTAAAAGAACTTACTAAAAACCAATTTAGGCCAATTCTTTATAACGTTAAGTGGGGGTTGAAAACCAACTTTCCTAATACTTGTGGTCAGTGCCTCAAGGTCGTTAGGATAAAAATAAAACTTCCAAGACACTTCGCAGCCTTCCAGCACTTCCAGAACGGCCGAACAAACCAGCATCCACCTTCCCGCTCCATCCGGGCACCGATATCCCGGCCCGAGAACGCACCGAGTGCCCGGGAACTGAGGGGCAGCGCCCTGGGGCGCCCGGCTCTGCCCAGGGCGGGGCTCGGCGGGGCCGCAGCTCCCGACGCCGCCCGGGGGACCATCGGCCCTTGGGCCGCCCAGGGCAGGCGCGGGGGCGCTAGCAGCCCAGAGGAGGAGGCGCTGGGGAGCCCCCGGCAGCGCCCGGGCCCTAGCCCTAACGGCGGCCACCCCCGGCCAAAGGCTAAGGAAGGCGCCGTCCTCGCTGGACCAGCCGGACCCGAAGAGGAGCCCCCGATCACAAATTCGGAGACCGAGGGACCCCGGCGAGGGACGCGAGGTCCCAGCCCCGGGACGACGAAAGGCGGTGGCGCGGGCGGGGGATCTCCTCGGAGCTACAGCAGGGAGGGCGGCGGGGGTGGTCGCGGAGCGATCCGGGGAGAATCGGGCGCCTCACCTGCTCCTCTCGAGGCAGCTGCTGCCACTCGCTGAGGGGACAACATGGAGCCTCCGCCTTCAAAGCAGAAGCAGTAGGGGCGCAGAGGAGAGGGACGGGTGGGGGGCGGGAGCAAACCGGGCCCTGGAAGCGGGAAACGGGCGGAGCCTGGGCTCTAGAAGAAACTAGCGAGAAGGTGGGGCGCGCGGAGCCGCGACGAAGCGAGCACAGGACGATAGGCGACGCCCAACGGCCAGCCCGAGGCGTGGCTAGCACTGGGCAAGGCGACGCGAGGCAAGGCGGGAAAGCGCACGCGGCGGAATCCCGCCACCGCCCGACGCGTGTGCGCGCCCGCGGGAGGACGGAGCGAACCACCGACTACCTGTTGGCGGGGCGCAGGGTGCTACGATCCGTTGGGAATTGTAGTCCCGCGCTCACTGGGTCCCGACCAGCGGTCCCCATACTGCGCACCCATCTGGGGAGGGACTTGGCGCGGTTCTCCGACGACTGAACTACAACTCCCAGCAGGCCATGCGGGAAGGGACGGGCTGGCCCGGGTCCTCCCGCGAGCCCCGGCCGACGCCTGGCATGCAGACCAGGCCACGGGCCGAGGCTTTAACCTCGAGACCCACGCTTGGGAGACGGCTTTGGTGTTTAAGTAGGCCTGGGAGCACAGATGGGCAGCAGAAGGGAGGCCTCAATCCTGAATGGCATGAACGTCACAGGGTCTTTAATGATTTTGACTTCATAAGGGCAGGTGGCCGTGACTTCATTACCACCTTTATTATCATTTCCCTATATTCCTATCCCTGGCCAGGGCTCATGTGCACCATCACCACTCTAATCGCTAATGTAAGAAATCCAGGCCAGGCGCGGTGGCTCACGCCTGTAATCCCAGCACTTTGGGAGGCCGAGGCAGGAAGATTGTTTGGGCTCCGGTATTCAAGACCAGCCTGGGCTACATGATGAAATCCCGTCTCTACAAATTATACAAAAATTATCTGGGCATGGTGGCGCACGCGTGTAATCCCAGCTACTAGGGAGGCTAAGGGACGAGACTCAAGAATTGCATGAACTCAGGAGGCGTAAGTTGCTGTGAGCCAAGGTCGCGCCACTGCATCTCAGCCTGGGCTGCAGAAAGAGACTGTCTCCAAAAAAAAAAAAAAAA